GCCCGCCCCCGGCTGCGGCTGACCCAGCCACCCCCGAGTCCAGCGCCACGCTTTAAACCTGGATAACGCACAACCCAGGAGGAAGAGGGTGTTTTTGCCAGACAAACCGTGAGTATTGCAAGGTTGGAGGGGAAGAATCCAGACAAGATTTCCTGTGGACTTAAAAGCCCTCGCGTTTAAAAGTAAAAGATCCAGCTGGGCTGCAAACAGCGTTTGGGGCTGAAGCGAGGGCTTTTTCATCCCCTCGCCTCTTGAACAAGGAAAGCCGACCCGGAGCGCAGCGCTGAGGCCGCTGGAGTCTCTTTGCAGCCAGTCTCTCACCCAGCCACCCCCGAGTCCAGCGCCACGCTTTAAACCTGGATAACGCACAACCCAGGAGGAAGAGGGTGTTTTTGCCAGACAAACCGTGAGTATTGCAAGGTTGGAGGGGAAGAATCCAGACAGCCCGGAGAAACCAGAGCACAAGAGTCCCCACGCAGGCACCGCTGCAATGAGGGGTTGCTCTTCTCTAAGCATGGAATTAACCCAATGGCTCCTTTGTGGCACGATGAGCGCAGGGGGACGCGTTCTGCCAGCGCAGCCCTGGCCCGATCTGGGGTGGCCGGTGGAGCTGGGGCAGAGCCGGTGCCACAGGCCTGGCCAGGCTGCCCGGCCATGGGAAATAGCACGGTGAAAACTGCAAAAGAGGTGGGTTTGCCTAAAGCTAAAGTGCCTTGACACATTCCTGGATGGGGAGAAAATGTCATGGGTTTTTTTTATAATTAATTAAAAAAAAAACCAAACCAAAAACGTGTTAAAATGTGCATGCAGAGGGGTGGGCACATGGTCACGCTCTTGCTCGCCCAGCACGCAGAGACCTCGATTAGAAATTGTGTATGGCGTTATTTGGAGTGGGGGCACTCGTTAGCCAGAGGGGGTGGCTGTGGGTATATTCCTCCATCCAAAACAGTGCTGTGCGTTATTTCCATGGCCAGGTAATGCAACCCCCCCGCCCCAGCCCATCTCCACTGGGGTACCTGTAGGGCTGCCCTGGGGGCTCCAAGGGCAGGGACAGGCTGTGTACCCACCGGCCATCCTAACCCTGAGGGGACTGCGCCTGTCACCCGGGAACAACGGCCAACTTGAGGCGTGAGACAGCCCGGGAATAGGGCAGGGCTGTGCATAGCTGGAGGACGGAGCGGCGCAGGAGGGGGTGGCGGAAGGGTGGGCAAGAGCATCCCCTGCTTTGCTATGGGCCCATGGGGTGCGTGTTTGTGTGGCTGTGTGTGCATGCTAGGGCCAGGAGCCGTCGGCTGCGGCGTGCCCCCGCGCCATGGCAGACGCCCGCCCGTTTTCACCCCCGCCCCACTTGCTTCTTATCACTCGGCGCTCCAGCTGAATGCTGAGGAGAGGGCGTTTACTCTGTATAAAAGGATGCACAACATCAAAATCCTCTTTATAAAAGAAAAAAAAAAAAAAATGCAACGCAGTGCTAGAAAACCTCACGTCCCAGCTGCAACCGTCCTCCCCCTCACTCCCCTTTCGGTTGGTTTTTTTGCCACCCCTTTATTTTGCTGTTTAGCACATTTCTGCCTACAGAATGTAGAAATGCATTCTAGTTTTTTTGGGTTTGTTTGTTTTTTTTTCCCCTCTTTCTTTTTCAAAACACTTCCATGAATTTCAAAAAGTTCTCCCCGCCGTTAAAAGCCCCATCGGCAGCGACGAGGTGCGATGTGATGCTGCGGGCCGGGCGGGCAGCCAGCGCCTCACACATCGGTGCTTATGCTGCGGCTGCGGGAGAACGCTTCCCGCATGGCCGAGAGCCGGTTGGGGTTGAGCGCCTGCAGGTTGGCCACGCTCACCGGCAGGTCGAGATCTTCCTGGCTCACCGTCTTGTAGCTCACCCGGTCGCCCCCGTTGTGCAGCTCCTCAGGGGGCTCCTGTAGGAAGAAGGTGGGGGGCTCGTAGGGCGCACAGCCCGGGCAGCCGGGCCGGCTCGGTGTCGGCTTCTTGCTGAAGGGTGACGAGGTGTAGAGGGACGGGCCGTTGGTCAGCACTACGTTGCGGTTGCAGTGGAGCGGCGGGATGTGGGAGTGCACGGCGAAGTCGGGCTCCTCCTCGTCCTCCTCAGACTCATCCTTCTTGCAGCAGTAGTACTGAAACGGGATGGCCCCGCGGGGCTGGGGCTCAGCCGGGATCCTCAACCCCCAACCCACCCCCCACCACCACTGTCACTGAGGGGCTGCTCCGTGCATGCCAGCCCTGGGGACCAGCAGGCAGGGGACCTGCAGGCTCCTCTCCCCATCGCAGCACCCTTTGGGGCTGCGTTCCCCCCCCCAGCCTTACCTGGAGCCTACAGTAGCAGAGGACGGCGATGATACAAAGCAAAATGACAGTCGCTAATATTCCACCTGTGATGACCACAGTCCCGGCTGTCATCCGCCCTCTTCTCCATTAACAGCCTGCAAAAGCAAGCACACGGGTGACGGGGTACGTCGGGGTTGCCGGTCACAAACCCCTCAGCTCACCCCCGTTTGCAGAGGGCTAGAAACCAGGAGGGCTCTGTGGGAGGGGATGGGCAGGATCAGGCCAGATCCTGGCACTGGGTGCCTGTGAAAGTCTCCGTACCCCCTAAATGCTACCTTGCAGGTGCAGGGGGATAACGAAAGCTTCACACAGCGGGTGAGAGATCCAGTGAGCAGCAGCTCTGGGGTCACAGTGGGCTGTTCTGCATGAAGGAGGGGGGACCCAAGGGAAATTAAACCTTCTGTCCAATGCCCATGGCACTCAGGGCACCCTCCTGGCTCCTGCCTGGTGGCAGAGACCTTCAGTGATGGGACAAGGAGCTTTGCAGTAAGGAATTCTGAGCTGTATGCATTTTTTTTTCTGAGCCTATAATCCATTTTCCCCATGAAAACAATGTGGTATTTTAATTTGGAATAACTGGAGCTGCTAAGTGAGCCTTTAATGACTGCAGGGACAGGCACGCTCCCCTCCCTGAGCAGCCAGCTGGGATAGGGGATGTGTCTGCCCGCCGCAGGAGGCACCAAGCTCCTCACCTTCGCCACTGCCAAGCCACAGTGTTGGGGGGGGGGGCACCCCAGGATGATGCTTCTGAGAGCCTCGGGCGAGCTGGTCGTTCCCACCACAGCAAATGCTGCAGCTGGGACCAAGAGTGCTGGACACCATGGAGATGCTGTGGCTCAGCTTGGCCCCACGCTTGCGTTTTGGGGTGCCCACCAGCACCCTTCTC